AACACTAGGTTAGCTACCTGCTTCCAGAAAAGAAAGGGGAAAAAAGAGAAAAGAAAATGGGGGAAAGAAGACGAGAGGGGAAAGATGGGGGAAGAGAAGAGGGAAAAGATGAGAGGAAAGAGGGGAAGGAAAAACAGAACAGGGGTTTTTGCTTTTTTGTTAAAAGGCTGTTTCCTCACTCTTTGAGGAGCTGAAAGCACCATTTATGCAGGTTAAAATTGTCATTAACTGATATTTAGATTACACTTTTAGGCTTTCAAAGCACTTTATACAAACAGTATCTTCTTTGGTCCCTTTAACAACTCTGAGGTTGGTTCTATTTTTATCCCTATTTGACACATGTGGAAACTGAGGCTCTAGGAGGTTAACAGATTTGCTCATAGTCACATAGCTAGTAAGCATCAGGGGTGGGATTTGAACCTGCATCTATCTGACTCCAGCTCTGGAGTGCTATCCACCACTTATAATACCTATGATCTTACCAGTAGGGATAATCAGATTGTTCTGAATGTGGTCCCCTACATTCAAGCCCCTACTATCCAGGCAAATTACCACGCCAATTCATTAATGACATGAAGTATCTAATGAGTCTCACCTAGGACTAGGAGAGGTATTGGAAGAATCTGACTTATTCTCTAACTCCCTCCATCCCCTGGCAACATGTATGGGAGACAGAGAGACAGAAAGTACCACCATTCAAACTTTACAAATGGAAGCCCTGACAAGCAGCTTGCTCAGGGTTTAGCAGCAAGGAAAGAAGGGGACTTGGGCCAGGAGCAGGTCTCTTTACATGTAGGCCAGTGAATTATCCTCATGTGATCATTTATTTAGTAAGCAAATTAACTTTTTCTTAAAAAAAGAAAAAGTATTAGCCTAAAGTACTCTTTTGAGACCAACATCCTAAGTATTGTTCAATCTTTTCAGTTGTGTCTGACTCTCCGTGACCCCATTTGGGGGTTTTCTTGGCAGAGATACTGAAGTGATTTGTCATTTCCTTCTCCAGCTCATTTTACAGATGAGGAAACTGAGGCAAACAGGGTTAAGTGACTTGCCCAGGTTCATACAGCTAGTAACTGTCTGAGGCTGGATTTGAATGACTTTGCTGACTCGCATGTGGTCCTGGTGATGGATGGGAAGGTCTACTATCCAAGGGCCAATCTCACTAAGCTCATGAGGACCTCGTCAGGACTTCAACAGAACCTCATCAGGAAGTTTCTCATAAAGTGATGGAGTTTTTTGGCCTCAGCAGCTCTTGAAAATCACCTACCGAGTTGCAGAGGGGAATCAGTCTTAGTGGAGGGTATGTACCCATGAGGTTGAAATCACAGATCCCTAAAGCATTGAAGTTGTACCAACTGGTCCCAAAGAAAACTGAGAAACTGGTTTCGTGGGTGAGCCAGAAAAATTGGTGGGTTTTGTGCCAAAAGCAGGGCATAAATCACTGATAAAGCCCAAGCTGACAATGGGTCTTGACAGTCCTAGCAGGCTTCGGAGTTAAGAAAACTATGTCCCCCAGGGAATTGACACCTCAGTGTTTTCTAGAATCCATGGCCCCCTCACTTCCCGGCATTGCACCCCTCCCAGCCCTATCTCCCAAGCCCAAGGCTGAGCACTAATTCTAACGGCCCTCAACCATTACTCTTTCCTGGCAGTTAGCCCTTAATTCATTTCATTCCCATCAGTTCTCTGACCACTGGGTAAAAAGCCCATTTTCAGCGGCATTGTTATTAACGGTGTAAATCTTTGCAAAATCAGATTCACGCGCCGCCGAGAACAAGCAGGTTCAGTTTCCCTAGGATGACTGGAGTGGGGGAAGGGTTGCATCCCAAAGGAAGGAAAAGGAAAAAGGACAGGACCTTGGGAAGGTGGGAGTAGAAGTAAGGAAGACCTCATTTAAACCCTTGAAGGGGGCTAAGGTCGCCTCCAGTAGGAACTCTGTGTATAGATCGGAATCTCTAGGCCAGGGGTTGTTAACCTTGCTTGCATCACAGATCATGTTAGGCAATCTGGTGAAAGCTGTGGAATCCATAGGTTACCCTTCTTGGAATAATATTTTTAAATGCATAAAGCAAAATACATAGGATTAAAAAGGAAATAAATTATGTTAAAATGCGGATATCAAAATATATTTAAAAACAACAACAACAAACAAAATCCAAAAGCAAACCCGCCAAGGTTAAACATCTCAGGTTAAGGACCCCTGCTCTGGACGGTCTGAAAAGATTAGCCCGCTTGGCCTCTCTGGGCCTCAGTTTCTTCGCCTGTAACATGAAGGGAACGGACCAGAGGACCTCTGAGGTCTCCTCCAGCTCTGGATGAGCCCACGATCACAGACTTAGAGCTGAAAGGGGTCTCATAAGCCCTATAATCCAACTCCCTCATCTTTCAGACGAGGAAACCGAGACCCAGGGAACTGAGGAGACTTGGCCAAGGTCATTGTCATATTCTCAGGACTGTAAATTAAAGGAAAACATTTCATAACTGCAAGTATACCCTGCTTGAAATAGGCCGTAAGTTGTGTGGGAAGGACAGCAACAGAAGAGATTTACTATACAGTAAATTCCTACCCATTTAGAATATGATTTTATTTACCCCCTTTCCCCCCAACCAACATATACATAAGCATCTGGGAATGTGTCTCTAGTATCATTCAATCAATGAACAAACATTTAAGCATTAAGCTCTGTCTATGCGCCAGGCACTGTGGGCGTTGGTGTTGGGAATGCAAGGACAACGAATGAAACAACCTCTGTTCACAAGGAGCTTACACTCTAGCAGGGGAGACAGAAGGCATGGCTATAAATACATACAAAGGAAATACAGGGGAATTGGGGTGGGAGGGGAAAGACACCCACAACCTGGGAGGGATCCCGCTTCATGTAGAAGGTGGCATTTGAACGAAGCTCTGAAGAGAACTACAGATTTTAAGAGGCAGAGGCGAAGAGGGAGTGCATTCTAGTCATGGGGGACGCTAAGGCAAAGGCAAAGTGTTGTGTGGGAGGAAGAGCAAGAGAGTTAGTAAGAATGTGTGAAAGCGGAATATTGTGTGATAATGCTAAAAAGGTAGGTTGGAGTCACATCATGAAGGCCTTGAAATGGCAAATCAATCAGTCAGTAAGCATTTATTAAGCACCTATTACGTACCAGGCACTATTCTAGGCACAAATAGAGGAGTTTTTATTTGACTCTAGATACCCGAGGTATTTGACCCAAGAGTATATTGTAGGACCAGGGGCTGGACATCTGCCCTGCCACTGTATGTATGCCACGCCCTGTTCCCTCCCACCCATTCCTTTCCATCTCTTTCTTTCTCCAGGAATGATAACCAAAACAACACCACCTTTGTTATTGTGGAGGGCAAGACAATGCCCTGCACTGTGTGTTCCTAGGATTCCAAGTCCCATCCCACCCTTGATATGGTAGGCTCCCTGAAACAGAGATTACGTTATTTCTTTTCTTCGTATCTCCAGTCTTGTACAATGCCTGGCACAGAGTAGGTGCTTAATAAGTGCCTGGCACAGAGTGGGTGCTTAATAAGTGCCTGGCACAGAGTAGGTGTTTAATAAGTGCCTGGCACACACACTGGGTGCTTAATAAGTGCTTGGCACAGAGTAGGTGCTTAATAAGTGCCTGGCACAGAGTAGGTGCTGAATAAGTGCTTGGTGACTAGAATTAAATCGAGAAAGGAATACGTGATAGGTTTAGTCACAGACTTGTTTGTCTCAGCCAAAATTTAATTAGGATTCAATTCAGATCACCTTTCTCTGATGCCTCAGATGTGCAGTTATCTGTGCAGCCCCAAAGGCTATGCTCAGGCCATGCCTGAGCTCTGGAAGATCCTATGAGCTGAGCAAACTCCATGTATTGGCCTATAATCCAGACTCTGGGCATTCCAGAACTTGCCTAGACAAATTTCAAGAGGCTCCTTATGGCATTAGCCTGGAGTGATGGATTTCCAGTAAATCCAGTGATGATTTCCACGACTCTACATGTGACCAGGTCTCAAGACCTTTTACCATCCTGGCCGTCCTCTTGTGTTTTCTTGGATACTAATGTTCTGTTCTTGACCATAGGCTGACTTGAGATGACCATCTCTGCTTCACCCTCTTAATCTTAATTCCAATTCTCTGGATCCTCTCGGATCACCCTGATTCTTATCTTAATTTGGTTTTAACTTTTGAAATAAAAAATTTATAAATATGCTCTGAGACCAAATACAGTCATTTGGATTGGAACAATCTAGTCTGAAAACGATCTTGAGGAATGGGCTTAGAGCAGGGGTGGAGAACCTGAGGCCTTAAGGCCCCGTGTGGTCCTCTAGATCCTCGATTCAGTCAAAGGGCCACACTTGAGGACCTAGAAGGCCACATGTGGCCTCCAGGCCACAGGTTCCCCACTCCTGTCCTAGAGTCTGGGAAGAGGAAACCCAACAAATCCTGAGTACAAGTGGGACCAGAATACAGCTTTCTACCCCAAAGAACTCAGACATGTTGGTGAAAGTATTATACTTTTATTAACAATTAGTATTGGCTCTCCAGGGGGCAAAAAGTATGCACAACACACTTTTAAGTTTAATCTGCATTATTAATATTTTCTAGACAATCGACAAAATCAATCAAGCCGTGATTAGTAGTGTTTCTCGATTAAATTTGACAATTGATTGGAGCCTAGCCAGTGAGAGCCTTCTCCAGCGCAGCCCTGCCTGGACTATACTTTTCTACCTTCCCTTGGGAGAAGGCCATTTCTTTTCAACGTGAATCAGCTTGAGATCTAGTATTACCTTCACCTAATTCAACCTGAACAACCAGTTGGAAATAAATCCATTTTGGCCCATAGACGGCAACAGCCCTGATGACTTTTCCAGCTTTTTCCCCATCCAGTTTAATGGTGGGCCTAGAACTCAGGGTTAGGGGTCCCTCACACTGGTGTTGTTCACCGGTACGGGCTCAGGAGTAGAAGGCGCCCTTGCCCACTGGGTCCCTTCCCTTTGGGCCCCTTACCTCGTTTTTGCCTGGTACTGTTGGGACTGGGATTTTGGTTCCTGTTGGTAGAAGTTTCTAGTCCCGATGACTCAGGCTTGGTTTCATAAATACTTGCTGATTTTCTGCTGTACCTTCAGAGAAAGAAAATAGAAGTCAATAGGAGAAAGTAGGAATGACCCGCATGTGTACCCTTGGACCTTTATGTAGCATTCACAAAAAAGTGTCACCACCCAAAAAGCCAGGCTATTCAATTCAATTCATAGGATCACAGTTTTGGAGCAGAGAAGGGACCTGAGAGGTTATCAAAGTCTAACACTTTCATTTTACAGATGAGGAAACTAAAGCACAGAGTGGTTAAGTGAAGCGACTTGTCCAAGGTCATAAAGCTAGGAAGTACCAGATTCAGGATTTGAATGTAGATTCTCCTGACTCCAGATTAAGCCCATTTTTCATGGTCCCATGTTACCTCAATTCAATTCAGCAAGGACTTATTACCTACTAGGATGTACCAGGCATTGGGAGTTCAAAGACCCCAAAAAATTAAATAATTAAATAGTTCTTTGCCTGAGACAGATTACAACAAGTATGTAGTTATGCAAATATTCCAATCTACTTTATGAAATTATAAGGTGTTAGAAAAATTACCACAGGGATAACTGGTTGAGGTCATTGGAAGTCTGAAGGCTTTTTGCCCCCTACCCTTACAGATGACAAATACAACTGCCATAAGTCTGAAAGAGGCATACACTTATATCTCATTATCTCTGTTGCCTCCTACAAATGGGGCCATTTGAAAGGGCTTGGGGGGGGCCAAGAACCCCACAAACTTTGAAGTCTGATACCCTAGAATTTCATCAAGTTGACTGAGGGCCTCAATGGATCTGGAGATCCTCTCATCACAGCCCCCTCCCCGAATATACACACAAAATAAATAAATACAAACTATTTGGGGTAGCATTAGCAATAGGGGGAATTAGGAAGAGGCTTTCTGTAAGAGGTGATACTTGGCCTGAACACAGGAGGGAGTTCTACAAGACAAGAGGTGAGCAAGGTAGGGCGTTCCAGGATTGAGGGATAGGCTGGGCGTCAGCGTGGTAATGGAAGACGAAGTGTCAGGTATAGGAAGAGGCTGGTCTGGCTCAAACATAACTTTACAGAGGCATAATGGGTAATTAGACTAGAACGATGAGTGGGCGCCAGATTGTGAATCACAAGCTTACTGGACAAAGGGGTGACTTTGGGGGCTCCAGCCATCATTGACCCAGGGCAGGGAGGAGACAGCATTAAACAATGCTATCTCTGGCACAGAAGGTGGTTGAGGCAAACTGTCACTTTCTGACACCTACTGTTGCCTTCATGGTGTGTTTCCTTGTTCTACCTGGGGCTGACTTCCATGGCTTTTGACCATTGGTCCAAATGCAGATCTCTGCCTTACCCAGAAGAACATAGGCTTGTCAAGAAACAGCATCGTGCTGAGGCCGCTCCCTTTGTCCCCAACAGGCCCCCCTCTCTTAGGCCCTTGTTAACTGTCTCTATGTTGGGTCTATGTTCTGTGGAGCCAGGAATCTGACAATTATCAGCACTGAAATCCTGAGATTCTTGTATGAATGGGCACAAGTGGAAACCTAACAGTACGGGTGTCCAAAACAAGGGGTAAGGGCAAATGAGACTCCATCCCCCCACTCCCACTTCTACCCTCTCTGAAACAAAATGGAGTTTATTCAGCCTGTGATGACCAATAATAAGAATGATAGCTAGCATTGATGTGGCATTTTAAGATTTTCATGCAAAGCACTTTACAAACATCATCTTATTTGATCCTCATAAAAACCCTGGGTGGTAGGTGCTATTATTATCCCCATATTACAGATGAGGAAACTGAGGCAGACAGAATTTAAGTGACCTGCCCAGGGTCACATAGCTATCTAAGGCTGAATTTGAACTCAGTTTTTTCTGATTACAGGGCACTTAGCCGCTTCTATGCTGTGCGATGAACAGTTTGGAATAAACCAGTGAGAAAAACTTTCAGGGGAGTGATTTAAAATGTTAGGAGAATAAACACTAGATGAACTACTCTTTAATTTTAGGTGGTACAGAGTGGGGTTAGGAAGTTGCCCATGATGTAATAGAAAAATCATGAAGTCAAAGGACATGAAAAATAATTTAAAAAATAAGAAATATACTTCTTTCACAACATGATTAATGTGAAAATGTTTAATATGATTGTACATATACAACCTATATCAGATTGCTTGCCATCTTGAGGAAGGGGGGAGGAAAGGGAGGAAGAAAAAAATTTGGAACTCAAAATCTTGTAAAAGTAAATATTGAAAACCATTTTTACATGTAACTGGAAAAAAATAAAATACTATTAAGTGGGAAAAATTAAGAAATATAATGACATGAAAACACACTTCAGGTCACTGATAAGAGACCCCCCAAAAATCTTAAGCTGTCAGTTTGGCAAAGATGATAAAAGATGGAAAGAAGTAATGTTGGCAGGGCTGTGGACGGACAGGCGGACTCCTATGTGGTCAATAGGAGAATGAATTGATCCAGTTCTTCTTTTGGGGGGAAAATTTAGAATTACATGAGAAAAGTAGATAAACTCTTTATTCTCTTTGACCCAATGATTCTACTATAAGTCACATAGCCTAAAGCAATCAAAGACAGAAAGAAAGGCCTATAGCTAACAGATATTCATAGCAGCATTTTCCATGGTAGCAAAAAACTAGAAATAAAGTAAATGCCTATTGATTGAAGAATGGCCAGATGTGTTGTGAGATATGAATGTAATGGAAAATGATTATGCCTAAAGATGACAAAAGATGGCTAGAACCAGTGAGAGAAGGGAAAGCCTAACATACTGTCCAGAGGGCTGTGTGTTGACCCAACTATTTTGGAAAACAATTTGGAAGTATGCCAGAAAAGTGACTGTCCATGCACTTTGACCCAGCAATGCTCTATGGCTGGGCATTTACCCAGACAAGGTCAAAGACCAAATGAAAGGTCCATCATCATCATCATCAACAGCATAATTATCACTAACATTTATATAGCACCTACTATGTGCCAGCACCATGATAAGTGCTTTACAATTACTATCTCATTTGATCCTCACAACAACCCTGCGAGGTAAATGCTATTTATTATCCTCATTTTTGCAGACGGGGAAACTGAGGCAAATGGGGGTTAAAGTGACTTGCCCAGGGTTCACATAGCTAGAAAGCTATCTGAGGTTAGAATGGACTTCGGTCTTCCTGACTCCAGTATTTTATCCATTGTGCCACCTAATTGCCCATATAAATCAAAATATTCACAGCAGCACATTTTTTGTGGGAGCAAAAGGACTGAATACAAAGTGGATGCTTCTTGGACAAGATTTTAACCTGGAAGAAGTGGTTTAAAGCCAGGGGGTCCCTGTCTCGAGTGGAAGGGGCAGGGGAAGCAATTAAGAAGTCATTGGCAACTTTGCAGAAAATAGTTTCAGTTGAATGATGAGTTTGGAAGCTAGGTTACAAAGGGTTCAGAAGTGAGTCAGAGAAGAGCAAGTAGAAACAGCAAGACAAGACAGCTTTTTCAGCAAGTTTAGCTGAGAATGGACAAAATATAGGATAATACTTTGGGGGGACAGTAGGATGTAGTGGAGATCTTTTTAAGGACAGGAAATACTTGGGCAATTAGTTTACAGGGAGAGGTCAAAGATTTGAGAGCAAGAGGATAATCGAGTTTGCCTTCTGCTAAAGAAAATGGGAGAGAATGGGATCAAACATACATGTAGAAGTGTTACCCTTGGTAAGGAAAAAGGCCACCTCTTTGTGAGAGACTGGGAGTAAAGAGAAAGGAATGAGAAAGGAGATGAAGTAAATCGGTCTTGAGATGTAGAAAATAGAAGAGGGAGCCCACATGGAATGACCTCAATTTTCTCAATAAAAGAAGGTACAAGGTCCTTAATTGAGAGATTGAGAGAGAGAGAGAGAGAGAGAAGAGATTGGGAGGTATGGGAAACTTGAGGAGAGACATGAAGGTTTGGAATAGCTTCGGTGGAGAGTAAGATAGGGAATCAATTAGGGAGGAATAAAAGGACTCCCTTGCTGCAGTGAGGGTCCAGATGAAATTGGAGACCATGAATTTGTGACATGAATTTATGTGCCCACTTAGCATCATTATGTAACTCCCTCCAGAGTCATTTGGCAGCTCATGAATAGCAGCAGAGGATGTGGGTGGTAGGAGTAATCCAGAGCTGAGATTTGAAAGAGTAGTAGTAACTGAGGTTTAAGGGAACTGAGGAACTGGGAGGCTGGGGAGCTTGAGGACGCATCAGTGTGAACATTGAAGTTTCCCATTATAAGAGCAGAAGTTGGGGAGGAGAAGAAGATGGTGAGTCTGATGCAGATTGTCTTGTAAAAGGATGGAGAATGACCTGAGGGTCAGTATATAAAAGCTGCCATGATGTGGATTGGGTGGAAATTTTTGATGGCATGGATTTCAAAGGTGGAGCAGATATTGAGTGACGGTGGTAAAGAGAGAGTCTGGAAGTAGGAATATCTGACTTCTCCTTTAGGACGAGCATGTTTAGGGTTATGAGAGAAGGTATGACTGCAGATGCTGGTCCAGTATAGACAGCATGAAGTCAGGTCTCAGACAGGGTTTTTAGATGGAAAGAGTGTGAGAGAAAGATTTGGGACCAAGAAAAGTTTGTTTATCATGGAAGTGGAATTTCAAAGAACAGAGTAGAAGGGGTGGGTAGAGTTGGAATGATACATGGGTGGGGTAGGTTTGAGGAGGATGAGAGAAGGGGAGGTTGGGGTTGGGGGCACTTTGCTCCAGTCATTGATCATTACAATGATAGAGAAATGGGAGAAGCCAGAGAGGCAGTAATGGGTGAAGAATGAATAGCAAGCTCCTAATCTCCTAAGGGGGGAGCAGAGAATGCTGGGCTAGACTTAGGACAGGGAAGCCCCTGGTCTGCTGATGTGACTTCTCTTCCCCTCAGGGAGCTGAAGGAGGGGAGGGATGGTGGGGGGTAGTAGTCATTGATGTATAGAATTCCTCACATGAAGCGCTCAGAAAAAAAAAAAAACATAACCCCGGCTTACAGATCTCAAACAAGTGAAGAAAGTCAAAGTGA